CCAAAGACAAAGAGGGGATTTTAATTTCTTTTATTTTTATTTAAATGAGTTTAATAAACTTTGTGACTTTAAACTTATTTCTTGAGCTCCGAAAATTCGCAGGAAATTTCAGAGAGTTCATTAGGGCACAAAGAATATTACAAAATATTCTCGGTCAATGATTTTTAAAGGAAAATTTTAATTTCCCCTATAATTTCACTTGATTAAATTGCTTTAATTTTTATTTAATTTCTAGAAGGTGCATTATTTAATGATTTTTAATCCCGAACGAAAATCAGGGCGTTACAATAGGCGTTCCTAAAAAATTATCACACTTCATAGCATATTGGAGAGATGAGAACTTTTGGTTCAAATCGGAACTTCCAGTATAGGATTGGAAGTTCCGGTCTCAAGCAAAAAGTTCGGCGGATAACGAAATAAAACACTAGCTATGAACTCGTAGCTCGAATAAACAAAATGTATATGAATCAAATGGTGACAAATAAGGTATCTAAGCAAGATATAAGGTCACCAACTATATTAATTAAGCATGCAAGTAGATCAGGTAAAAACAAGATCAAGATATGAGAGATGGCTAGAACGAGCAAACCAAGAGAGGAGACACGTTGATTTGTTTCCCGAAGTTCGGATCCAAGGATCCTACGTCTCCGTTGAGGGACCATAAGGCCGGGTCTATTTCAACACTTTCTTCACGAGGTTGCACAAATGCAATCATCGGTTTCACTCTTGATTTCTTCCCTTGCGGAGGCGAAATCGAAGCCTTCACAAACTTTTCATGGCACACCACAACCTTGGGTGCTCACCGGCAACACCTAGCCGTCTAGGAGACCATAGTCCCCAAGGGTAACCAATACAATCAAAGATTTGCTTGCTATGAACTCGAGTGCTCAAAGTATGGAGTGAAGCTCACTAGCTCTCAACTTCTTAATCTCTTAATCCAAATCTCTCCCCTTCTCAAATCCCTCTCACAAAGAGGCACCACATAAGGTAGGGAAAACGGGGATGGCTCTTTGGTTTTGAATTTGTCTAATGTTGCCCAAGAACAGCAGCCACTCAAAGAAAGAGTGGAGGAGTTTATATACCCGAGCCCCTCAAAAACTAACCGTTGGAGGCCAACACTGTAATTTTCGGAATTTCTAAAATGCATTTTCGGATAAGTCCAAAAACTTACAGAAGCCAATCTCAGATTCGCAGCCATTTTCAAAATTTCCGATAATTTTCGGATATTTCCGAAATATTTTCGGAATTTCTTTTAGTTTTTCGGAATTTCCGAAAAGCACAGAGTAAAATGACTATAACTTTTCGCTCGGGAGTCCATTTTAGATGATCTTGGACTCTATGGAAAGCTCATTCAGAGGACTACCCAACTCAACCAAAAACAAGGTCTAAAACCACTCAAAGGATAGGTTAAAGCTTGGGTTTCTCTCAAGGTAGCACTACGATAGGTCACTTTGAGCACCGAGACATACACAAATACCTCGACGTTGCATCCCTCTTAATAGTACGACATTCCTAAACTCAAATGTAAATAGGAAGAGAATTATACCAATAGGGATGCCTTCTTTACATCTTTCTTTCATTGTCTTAAGGGACGCCAATGCCGAAACCGTTTCACCATATATTCTTTAAATGATTGATGCGGTTACTTGTAGCTTCAAATGGTCTCGCACGGTCCATCATGACAAAGCCGTCACTCTTCCGTCACCACCGATTTGGTTCTTCGGTGCCAAGCCCCTTGCTTGCCCTTCACCGCCGCATGGTCCATCGTGACCGACCATCGCTTGCCCTTCACCGTCTTGCCATAGTAGCCACTTTGTATCCCACATCTTCAATATCTTCACTTTGTCATTCTTGGTATCGTTACGTGTAATTATATCACTTGAGCATCAACACCTTTGCAATCCTTGGGACCTATTTCTTTCATTCAACTCAATAAAATTATTAGTCCCAATGATCCGGTTGTCAACCTCCACATGTTGACCAACCAATCGCATGTATAAAATGATATGAATAAATGATGAGTATTTATCAACACCACAAGTGTCATATACTCAAATATATGCTCAAATGTAAAGATCCCAATTAAATGAAAGTGAATAACTTAGATCGATTACAAGCATAACTAAACTATAGGATTTTTCCCCCTAAATGCATGCATACAAAATGTTTGTGTGAAGCAAGAGTATGCATAAAAGAATGAAACATTAGGAGCTTATCCTATACAAGAATCGAAGGCATTTATCAAATATAGGCATTAAAATAAAAACATACATTTATCATCTTCATGTTCTCAATGTAAAGAGACCAAACAAGATATGGCTCAAACAAAGCATTAGTCTCACATGCTTATGTAATCACATGAATATATATATATATGAATATAGCAATATGTGCACGGAGAGAAAGAGTGACATATATAGCTTGATCTCCATGCATTTCATCCTTGTGATTTAGGTACATCATCAATGAACGTTTCTTTCTCCACTCATATGAAGTCCGGATATCACCTCTCACATATTCCACTTTCATATCCATATGAGACTAGTAGACAAAGAAATGCTTATAACAATGTTGGTCTCATGTAATTGGATTTGTCATTAATCACCAAAACCAAATTAATGGCACTTGAACTTTCAAAAGAAAAAGAGAAAGGAAAGATGCTCATGTGATTTTGCAAAAGGACCCGTGTAGTTTTTAGAAATTAAGTGCATGTTCCTTTGCATAGGAAATTTTGCCTTTTAAACCCTGATTTTTCCATAATTTACACAATTAACCCTCTTTATTGGGATATTTGTTTGAATGGCGTACGAAATTTGCAAATATCACCGAAAATCATATTCTCGCATGAAAGGGGCCACGAGACATTGAATTTTTACCTCGACTTTGCATTTCAGGTACCTTTATTGCTGATATATATGATTATGAAATTTATTTATCGCATTTATGATTATTGATTATTTGTAATGCTTTATTGCCTTTAGTTAATATCTTTGCAGTAAAATGTATAGAATTGCATAGAATACATTGAAATTATTTGCGGGAACTTTTGTGTATCATTATTTGCAACAATTGTGCATTCTTACCTGAATGTAGTTTTGCGCATGTTTTGAATATAGGAAAATGGCTGGCATCACGAATTAGAAAATTTGCTAAATCTAGAATATCTCCGACATATTTATTCAATGTCGAAATTACGATAGAGCAGGAAGTTCTACGGTACCGTTAATCCAATCGCGCTATGTGCATTGACTCGATAAGTTTGATCCAGCATTTCAATATCTCACCAGTGCTTCTAAGCTACTCTCATGAATGAGTATGCTAGACGACTAGGCGCGTTAGCATTTAGAAGGTTATGGTGCACACCCTACCTCTTGCAGAGCAAGAACTATCAGCAAGAATGGGTATTTTCGACTATGATTGACTAAGAAAATGACCAAGAGAGTACGGTAATTCGGTGCACCGAACTTGCACCAGGTACCATGGAAACTCTCAATGATTCTACCCGAGCGTCACAAAAGTCGTACGCAAGCATCACTAGTGCACATTTATAGGTGACTTATGATGGTTGTATGGTGGTTAAACACTCACAATAGCCATTGGGAGCCAACCAGGAAGCCACGCGTGGAGGGCCAACTACCACGGCGAGGATCTTGGCAGCGGCGCTGGATCCGACCACAGGCTCGCTGCCCCTCCCCACCTCACGCAGATCAGAGGAGACCGATGCCGCCGTTGCTGGAGCCGAAGACGAAGCCGGTGGTGATTCACGCGTGTTCGGCGTCGCCTCCCTCAGCACCAGCATCATGTACTCATTCACCCAGGTCCGTGCCTCCCCTCCTAGTCCCTTGCCTCGCCCAGCCCGCTGCACACGGGGATCCCCGGGGCGGCGAGTCGGCAAACGGGGGCACCACCGCAACCAGCTGCATTGCCTGCACGTGTAACATACCGAAAATTTGCTATTTTCTACATATGCATCACGCCGATTCTTATGTTTTTAATAACTTCCTAAACTTAAGAAATTATAATTAGAGGGACCTCCTAAAACTAACATGCATAAAACCCCTCTTTGGTATTTAAAATCTTTCGTGGTTTTATTCTAAAAATTGGTCTTGTTAAATTGAGGTATTCTCTTTGATTTGATTTTGCATCTTAAACGTTCTTTCGACCAAAATTTTCTTTATTTAATTTTAGTTTGAAAATCCTTTTTACTTTTATGAATCATGGTCCAAGAAATCCTCCAACAATACCTTTGAACCTAAACCGAAGCAATTCCAATTTTATTAGAATTAATTGTCGACCCATCCTTTGATTTCAAACCTATTCTTATTTATCGCCAAATATCCAAGTTCCCCATTAGCCTCGAATACTTCTCCAAATCCTTGCTAAATAATTTGAGGCTAACATCCTATTTATTTCCCTTCCCTCTCAATCGAGTGCATCAAATAAATTCCGTTATATTCTATCTCTCAAAAGATTGCACTCAAATAAATTAGAACATCCTTATTTTAAAATCCCTCACCATGTATCAATATCTCCGAATTCAAATCCTTTTTAAATCTAGCCATCCAAATTCCTCTAAATCAATTATTTGAATCTCTAGAAAAATTAGACTTTCTTCCTTGTAATTTTGGGCCGAATTCTTCTTCCCACTCAGGCGGCCCAAGTCGGCCCAGCTACCCCTCCCAGCCACACAGCCGATCCTCCTCCCTGTCCCGTGGGCGCCGCCGCCGTGTGCCATGGGCGCGCGTGGCGCACGGGTGCACACGCAGCCGCTGCCGTCGCCTGCAGCTTTGCCGCCGTCTTTCCTTCGCCGCTAAGCAACCGCCGCCCGACGTCAGCGCCACCTCACACCGCTGACGCCAGCCACTGCACCAAACCGACATGATCGGCCAATCGGATGGAAGGACCGGTGCCGTCGTTCTCTTCTTCACGACATTGCCGCCGTGACCAAGACGACGACCTCCTTTGCGAACCGACCTCCAAAGCCTATAAATACCGGCAAGCCGTCCCTTTTTCTCCCACATATCCGAGGTCTCTCTCTCCCTCTCTTTCTCTCTCTTTCTTCCTCATGACCGGCTGCCGCCACCGTCGGCCGATCTCCTTCACCGTAGCTCCACAACCCAAACCCTCGCGCCATCGGGCTTGCCTCGACGAGGGGAATCCATTTTTCTAGTTTCCCCTCTTCCCTATCCACTCCATCAAGCCACCACAACCACCTCCCTTGCAGCCGAAGAGAAGCTCTTCTACTCGCCGTTCCGGCCAACTCCTCCTCTCTCTCGGCCAGCCACCGACTTACCCGGGTGCGCGTCGCTCGGGAACACGCTTGGCCGCCGCCGTCGAAGCCGTTCCACCATCGGAGCACCGGCGCCCCTTCTCTCTCTCTCTTTCTCTCTCTCTCTCTCTGTTGTTACACGGGAAGAAGAAGAGAAGGAAGAAGATGACGGGAGGAAGGAGGAAAAGAAAAAGAAAAAGAAAGACTGACAGGTGGGCCCCTACACAGTACACTTCATATTTTCTAGATTTAATTCAAATCCTATTTTTTAGAAGCCCATATCTCCTAAACCGTAGATCCGATTCCAATGAAACTTGGACCTAAATTCATCTAAATTCAAACCCTATCTTTTGACACCAAATTTGCTATTTTAATATTTTATTTGAATTTATTCAAATATTGTTTGAATTTATATTTGCCTTTTCAAATATTTCTTTTTAACCCAGAATACTCTTTAGCCACTAAAAAGCCGCCGGTTGGAACTTTACGCCTTCCATGGGGACGTTCGCGGTTTACTATCCTCGACGTCAGACTGTTGGTTGTAAAGCCCGGCAAAACCAAACCTAAGGTTGAAGTGCTGCTCCTGGCACCCCACGCCTCGATGCGTATAGTGCTCGGAGTTTCACTATTTCCTCGACCTCCACAGAACGCCGCACAGTTAGCTCTTGAGCTCTGTGTGATCCTAGCCGCTCCGCCGCTACTCACGGTTGTCAGAGTAACACTTCCGCCCCACTAAACCCACACAAACCTCCTATCCCTCTAGTCGTTATGCTGTCTATTGACACCGGCTAGAGAAGATACCAATTCTAGTCGTTATACTGTCCAACTGTAGCAACGACTAGCAAACAACCAAACCCTAGCCGATGCCTTCCTAATTAAATTCCAACTACCATCCAAATTCCATACCCACCTATCCACCATACTATTAACTACCTACTCTTCTAGAACCTATACATAAAATATAGAACCTAGCCGATATGTTGCCCTACTCCACAATCGGCTTAAATATAACCAAACCCTAGGTATTATACTACCCAAACCTACCACCAGCCAATACTAGCCACATACTCACTTAACCAGTTATATATCCCTTACTCTCCAAGCAACCAAAACCCACACATAAAATATAAACGACATGAGTTGCTTGATCCCCTCTCCACCTCAACCTCCAACCCTCTAGAACCTCCACATAAAATATTAACCCAATAATCCCTATACCCTAAAGGAGATAGATTATACCCTAAACCCTAGCTCTCTTTAGCCGCTTATCGATCTTTTGTTATTTTATGGCTTTTATTGAATTTGGCTCTTCCTCTTCTTCAGTAGAGTTTATTTTATTTTGGATGGCAACCTGTGGTATTTTAAGGATCGGATAATCAGGTTGCCTACCTTGGATTATTCGCGTTGGAGCAAGGTAAGTTATTATTCCTTCCCTTGAGCATAATTACCCTATATTCTTATATTTCTATTCTATGCATTAGTCATTCATGATTTTGAATGCATAACCTGAACATAGCAAACCAGATATGCTAGCTTTGCTTAGCCCTGCCTAGTAAGTCTGCATAAAAATATAATGAACTTAGATTGGGACAGTACGTAGGAATTGGTTGATTTTCGGGTGGCTAGTACTGTCTCAGTCGATATAGTTATTACCAAGTACTTATGTCAAACGAACGAGTACGACCGCAATTCTAGAATGGGGACAGACCTTGCAAAGTAGGTTGTCTAGCAAAGGTGGTACCTCTGTACAGTGGTTCTTATTTAAGTCCTCGCGCAGGAGGCAAACTTATGCCGCGAAGGGCAAATATAACATTTACCGAGGCACAGGTAGATGATTTGTTGAGCTCAAGTGTGTGTATTGTGAAAACCTGGTTGAGATGACGGGGGTCTCTCAACCAGTTCTCTCTCTAAAAACCTCGGGAACGCCAGAACTTCTCTCGCTGCTGATAACGTTACGTTCAGAGTGCATGAGGATGAAAGTTCATGGAACAGGTGCCACTGATGTCAGTAACCGAAAAGCTTTGCCATGACTAAGCTAATGAATATTGGTATGTCATAGATTGCGGGTAAAGCGTACATTTACTGCAGTAAAATAAACATGAATCTATTTGAATAGCCGTGCTCACGGAATTGAGTATCGGGACTCATATGGTACTTTGGTTAGAAACCTAATTCAAGATTTTACTAAATGCTGCTGCATTTAAAACATCAGGCTTTCTATTTCTATATTCTCTGCCTTCTGCAAGTAATCGTAATCCTACTCAAATATTACCTTTTCATACATTCATTATTGAATATAATAGCTTGCTAAGTACGTTGTACTCACCCTTGCTTCAAACCCCTTTTTCCAGAGTTAAATTGAAGTTCTTGCCGAAGCCAGGAGTTCAATCATATAAGTTAGTCTTATTTCAACCTAGTTCACAAATCTAAATTAGTTAGATGGTTTAAGTCTATAGCAAAATATTAGAGTTGAGACACTCTATAGCTTCTGCTGTAATAGTTAGCCACAATCTTGTAAATTCCCCTATTAATTTATGTAATAACATCTCCTTTGGAGCCTTGTTCAAATGTACGCAATGAAGATCCAGATTGTTGAAGCTGTATCAGTCTACTGATCCAGGGTTTGATACAGTTAAACATGTCGGTTTCCGAATCATTAGTTTTGAGATCCGACAGCACGTCCGGCTCGCTTCCCCCGTTTCGTTTTCTGATGCTGTTTTATTTTGGGGGATTCTTGAATTGAGGATAAAGGGATGACATGGAGGTGCTCGACGAGCCGCTCTACGCTAATTTCCTGCAAGTCACTGGCGTCGACAGGCCATATCACGCGGAGCTTCTTTCTAACATGGTAAACCTTGACAAAGGTTTGACCATTACTACTTATTGACGGTCGTTAGTATAACGCCCCGATTTTCGTTCGGGAATAAAAATCAATTAATAATACATCTTCTAGAAATTAAATAAAAGTTAAATCAATTTAATCAAGTGAAATTATAGAGGAAATTAAAATTTCCTTTAAAAATCATTGGCCGGGAATATTTTGTAATATTCTTGGTGCCCTAATGTACTCTCCGGAACTTTCCGTGAATTTTCGGAGCTCGAGAAATAGTTTTAAAGTCACGAAGATCATTTAACCAATTAAAATAAAAAGAAAACAAATAAAATCCTCCCTCCTCTCTTTGGGCCCCTTTCGGCCCAATTTCCCCCCCCCTTCTCTCCCTCTCGGGCCGGCCTTCTCCCTCGGCCCGCTCGGCTCTCTCTCTCCCTCAAGTCTGCTTTACCTCCCTCGCCCGTTTTCCCCTCTCTCTCTCCCCGACAGGTGGGACCCGAGGCCCCACCTGTCAGCTCCTCCTCCTACCTCTGGCTGGCCGGCTGCAACCGCCAGGGCCGCCCGAGCCACCCCACGACGCCGCCGTTTCCGACCTCCTCCACCCCGCGCGCGAGCCCGCCGGTCGTGGGACCCCGTCGCCCCACGTCCTCTACCCTTTTCCCCACTCTCCCCACGAAAATCGCCGCCGGTTAACCTCTCCACCACCCCCACGATGCCCCGCCCATCTCGCCAGCCGGTTGCCACCTCTCTCGAGCACGATCCCGTCGCTCCAAGCCCATAAAAAGCATCCCCGGCCTCCCCTTTCCATTTCCCCCAATTTTCCCGAGCTTCTCGCGCCCTGTACTGCTCTCCCCTCGCTGCTCCCATCGCCGCCGCTCACCGGCGACTCTCCATCCGCTCGCCACCGCTGCTACAGCCGTCGCCGTGCTGTTCCGCCGCCACCTGCGGCTTCGCCGTGCCTTGCCGCACCTCGGCCCCGCTCCGTTTTCCCCATTCCATCGTCGGAACCCCCTCCCCACCGCGCTCCCTCTCTCCACCACTCACCGACGAGCTCCAGCCGCCGCTCCTCGCCGCTCCAGCCACCACTGCGCCGTGCCACCGCCACCGCCGGCATCGCCCCGCCGAGCTCCACCCCGGTCCCTACTCCATTTTCCCATTTCGCCTCCGGAACGCCGCCGCCACACGCACCACCTCTCTCCCTCACCATGGCCACCTCCAGCCGCGTCGCAACGCCGCTTCGGTCCTTGCCGACCCGCGTCGTCGCCTTCCTCGGCTCCGCAGGGACGGGGAGATCCTTGGCCACTGGCCCTCTTCGCCGGAAATCCGCCCGAGCTCCACCTCCCTCGTCGCCGGTGAGCTCCTCCTCGTATTGTCGTGGTCGGCAGTCGTTTCCATTTACCTCGCACCAGTTCTCACCTCCCTAGCCCCTCCTTGATTTTCCTCAGACCGAGGCCGAGCCCGTCCGCCCCTTCCTGAGCGACGCCCGTCGCCGGAGCTCCGTCGCGCCGTCTTCCCGAGGAGCCCCGCTGCCACCGTTCCTTGCCGTCGGCCGCCCGTTTGCCGTCGTGCCGCTCGGTGAGCACTCCCCTCCCTCTCCCCTTCCTCCCCTTCGTCGGCCACCTCCTGTGCCTGCTCACAACGCGCCGCCGTCGCCGGTGGCCGTCCGACCGGGTCGCCGCCGCCGCGCTCCGCGCCGCTGCCGGCTGTGCCGGGCAGTCGGCTGCCGCCTCACCTTACCGCGCCGCGCCGCCGCTCCCTAGCGTGCGCCGCCACCGCCCGCATGCGCTGCCGCTCCCCGCGTCGTCGTCGGCCGTCATCACCGGTGGCCGCGCTGCCGTGCGCCATCACTCGGCTGGCCGGCTTTGAGCCGTGACCGTGCCCCAGCCGCGCGCCCCGTGGCCGTCCGATCGGCTTAGGCCAATCCAGGCCGTCGGTTCCCGTGGACCGGCGGTGGACCGCCTCGGTGGTCCCGGTCCACGGTGGACCGGCTCCCTTGTGCCACTGACCGGTGGGGCCCGCTTGCCGGCGCCGCCCCTCCCCTTTGATGACGTCAGCAACCCTCTTTTCCTTTGGAAAAATAAATAATAATTGCGTCATAATTCGTTAATAATTCTAGAAATTCATTTAAATGGCTCAAAACTTCTAAAATTCATATCTAATTCATTCGAACTCCGAATTGAACCGTTCAACTTGCAAAATTCATCTAAAATTGAGCTCTACATGTTTGTTTAGTTTTTATGTACTGTTTCCTTGGTTTTTATTAGAGTTGTTCCTCGTTTTGTGTGCCAGCATGTAGAATCCGTCGTTTCGGAAGTCCGCGGTCGCGAGGAAAAGAGTTCGGAAGATCAAAGTGAAGAAGCAAGGCAAGTCACACATTCCCCTTGAGCATGTTGATCCCAATTTACAAATGTTTTACTGTTTGCAAATAAATATGCATGTTTTGCTAATTACATGGGGTCAGGGTTTTACCTATCTGCTCGCTTGTGCCATGTTTACTTGATATCTGTTCTTTGTCAACCTTGGGTAATAAATCGCCTAGCTTGTGTTACTTTGATGACATAGCTAGAACTATATGCTTAGCCATGCTTAATTACCACTAGCTCAGTTGATGGGGTAATTACAGTTTTAGACCTTTTAGTATCAGAATGAGCTGCGTGCTCGAGACATCTGGCCATGCTTCATGGTCGTAATTATCCAACTAAAATGCGACTGAATGGTGGGCTGTGGGTGCATGGTTTTGCTAGTCGCACCCATGGCAATTAAGGACCGGTTCGCGGGATGCCCTGGAAGAACTTATCGTACTTATCACAAGCCAGCGTGGGCAACGGCTGGGCTTGTAGTGTAGCTTTCCTCTAGCCGACGCATCCAGGCAAGGGTGGGCGTGATGGAGTTTCGATGGGCCCTGCGATGGCCTATGCGGCTTCCGGATTCACCTAGGCACGAGAGGGGACTGCCCGCTGCCTTGCGAGGAGTGGGGGTGAAACCTGAGGTGTGGTGTGCTTGGTTAGAGGGGGTTATGCGAAGGGTCCTGTCACGGCCTCTTTCCGGTATGTCGTGGTGGCATGTCGTCGCACGGAAACGTGTCGTGGGGCTGTGTCTTGTGGGTACAGTTGTACACCTCTGATCAGAGTAAAACTATTCGAATAGCCGTGCCCGCGGTTATGGGCAGTCGACCAGATTCACCGTGATTAGTCCCATCTTAACAAATCGACTCAATACACAAATCGACTCAATACACTGTAGTTCAGGTGGGTTGGTTGGGCCTGTTCAACGTGGTGTAGTGTTGATCAGTGGAGATTCAATATTACTTTAATTACTCAACAGTTTTACTGTTTTGCTCAATAAAATGTTTTACAACTGCCTTTATGCAAATAGCCACAAACCCCTCCTTGTATCCCCTTGCACGTCTGCATCGTTGGTGTGGCTTACTGAGTACGGTGGTTGTACTCAGTCTTGCTATTATTCCCCCTTTTCAGAAGTGTAGTGCTTCTGAGCTGAAGACGAAGTTAGAAGACCAAGGCTCAGACCCCAGTTGAGTTTTGCCTGTGGAATGGAGCTGAAGCCCCGCTAGGATCGCCTTTTTCCGCTGCTGCTGCTTTTGTTTCGGTGTGAGGACTAAGTGCCTCTTCTGTAAGTATTTTACGCTTTATTTACGTTTGGAACTGTTTATTACTTGTCGTTTTGTGTACCCTGGCTGGTCCTAGACAGGGATTTAATACACAAAATAGTCTGGAAATTTGGGCTAAATTTCTGGGCGTGACAGTTAGCGATCAGTTTCACCCGTCAATATTACTAAAATAAAGGAGAACTAGTTATGCTTACAATGCATATTCATGTTAGAATAAGAAATATTCCACTAGCACTAGGTTTTCTAACCTTTTGTATAGAATGAGAATAAATGGAGGAGAATCGATAGCAAAATAGACGATCAATCAATCCGACGCTGTCGTGAATCAGACTTAGAGGAAGATGGGCCAAGAACTCAGAAATAACATACTCACAAGTCTACGGGGAGAAACACACGAGGAGACCACCAGCCAAAACCTGGGCTGGTTGGGCCGACCCCTGGTTCGGCCAAACCTCGGGTTTGGCCAAACCCCTCTCGTAGCCGTTTGATCCAGGGCTTTGCCTGGACGTTGTAGATTAGACCCCAATGACGGTTGGAGGGTATTTCTGACCATTCCAACCGTCACAACCGTCATTGGGAGGCTATAAAAGGGGCTCTCATCCTCACTTCTTCCACACACCTCAAGCGGGAAGAATCAAGCTCTCTCTCTAGTTTAGTACTAGAATAGGAATAGAATAGGAGTCTTAATTCGAGAAGTCTTCAGAAGGATTCGGGTATGGTTCTAGTAGCTCTGCTCTCTTTTGTAAGACTTATACTTTATTTAGAATATTCTTCTTTATACTACTCTGGTATTGTATTACTTTTCGAGTATATGTATACCAACTTTATTATATATTCAAGTTATATTGATTATGATGCTAGCTTATCTGGGAAATGCAATGGTGTGGGTATAATGATCGTGTATACGATTGCTCTATGTCATGACGATGATATTAGAGTAGTATTTGGTAATTTAAGCGTAGTGTTTAGATTACTGGATATCATTATTTTGGGTTATATGCTGCGAATACGTCGAGGTGGGCTGCTGATGCTGACAGCTCAGTACGGGTATTCCATCGCGCGTGTATATAGTCCTAGGTTACTTTCCTGGGGAAGGTACTCCTCCGTATT